AGTGGTTCTCACAGTGTACTGTATGAAAGTGTACGACATTGAAATCATCTGTCAGTGCAACATTACAAAGGTGATTAAGACCTATTTAAAAACATGTACACAAACTTAGGACTTTGCTCAGTGTTGACGCATTTTCAGACCTACAAATGATCCAAATGTACTTAATTAAACTTCCTAACTATCTGAAAGACTAATCGGCAAATCATATTACTTTGATGCATCACATTATGTGTTTGTCCACATGTACTCAACTCCACTCACCGTGAAAACAAAGCCCATGTGAATCTTGGCAGCAGTCACTTGTTTCTGTTGGCTCAAGTACAGAAGCAGTTTGTACTGTAGAAAAGAAAGGATGAGGAGTATTATTCACAAAACTCCAAAGTCAAACCAGTAATCTCAAACAAGTGACCAGTTAGAAAAGCTCCAACCTCTTTTGTCGTGTGGTTGCCCAGTGCAGCTGCTCCCAGCTTTCCCTGCTTCACATACTGTCCGTTAATACTGTGCAAGAGAAAAATGGCAGAAAACCTTTTGACTTGCACGTAACAAAGATGATTCGTTGACTTGATCATAAGATGATTTGGCAGCTTGTGACTTGATTTCTAGAAATAACCATCATGTTATTTAGCTTTGTATAAAAAGTTTGTAAATGGGGAGTGAATATTTGCAGTCAATAGATTTTTGGCATTTAAAAAACATGACAAAAGAACATCAATCAACATCAGAAAAGACTTTCAAATAATAAAAAACAGGGTGCTCACTATCTGAAGGCTTGGACAGCTGTGGCGAACAACACTGCTGGAGCTCCAGACGGTGGAGCTACTTTCTGGGAGGCTGGCCCTATGAACAGACAGAAATATTCACTGTACATCCTCAATCGTTGTAAAAACTTTATTCACTATTGTCTGTTTGTGATGAGCCTACCTTGAGTGGAGCTCTTCCTGGGCTGTTTGGGAGCTGTATATTGAAATGACTCGTTCCCCTGACTGGCCTCCAGGTCTAGACCAAACAGGGAGGCCAACTTAGCCCTGCAAATAGAAGAAGCGACAGTAAAGATCATCTGTGTTTATATCTGCAATTTTATGATCTAGTGTATGATCTACTGAATGGTTACACTCAGAATAAAAATGTCCCACCCTGAGGTGAAATTTGTGACCTCTGAAACAGCACTGACTCTTGAGTCAGGCTTGTTCCAAAACACCAGGTTAAATCTGCTCATAAAGACCATTCATCCGCAATTTTTCAGCAGTTCCTGTATCTGCCTGCCACAAAAACTGCAGAACTAACATCTAGCACTTGTTTAGATTATTCATTAACTGGTCAGTTCTTTTTTTATTGTGACTAAATAATGAATCATTTAGTCTATAAAGATGTCGAAATGTCATTTTCTTTTAAAGGGTCATCGCAATTTTCCACAAAGATGATGTGTTCAAATTGTGGAGCCTGCCCAGCATAATGCAGCTACATGACATGCCACGACACAACTGACCAAACTCCATATACTGAAGAAAACAATCAACTGGTTCATAGAACATGCAATAAGATTTTTTTTTTTGTCAAACTACAGAAGACAAAAGTGAACTTGCATACTTATTATTTATGTCACTTACACTGATCTAGAAAACTAAAGGAGAAAATCTGCACACTTGAGGAACAATGCTTTTTCTTGAAAAATATATGAAAAGTGAATCTAATAAATATCTACATGTTCAGCTTCAACAAGACCACTGCATGCTGTAACACTGTCGCAACATTCAAGACGAGACCAACATTTTGGAGTTTTTCTGTTTTCCAAACAAGACGGGTTGAAAAACTGCCCAGCTGCCTCGTACTGACCCCTGGAACTCCTTCCACTGGTAATCACTGGCATCTCCTAGGAATGACATGTTGAAAGCCTTGAGGCCCTCATCTCCAATGGTAAGGAGCTGGGATGAGGTGGAGCTATCAGTTGGCATGTGTTAGTCAAAATCCTTATAATAATCGTTCCACGCTCCTGACCTGGGCCACCCCTGATCTCTCGTCCCCTCAGTGCAGTCACACCAACACGGTAGATTCAACAGCATAGCAGAAGAAACCGAGGAGCTCCGACTTAGTGTCCGGTCTCCGCTGAGCAGAGATGAGCTGTGGCGGAGGCCTTCACCTACCTCGTCTAACAAGCAGCATGTGAGAGGAATTAGCCGCTAGACCACTCCTCTCTCCCTACACTGGTTGCTTAGTCCCCCAGCTCACAAACACAGCACTGCTATCACACAATCCCACACAGAAAAAGTACAACTCGGTGGTCAGTCTCACAATGTGGCAGAGCTGTAACAGAATAGCTCTAAGTGAACATTATGTATCTGTATCGTGATATAAAGATCACAGTTTGAAAAGAGGTGTAACTGAGATGGAAACTCTGATACAAACGTCCAAAACCCCGATACAGGATGACAGAATCATGATAACACAACTGCAACATGCTGCAGCCTGTTGAGCTCACATTAATGTAACACGAGGCTTTTTACACTTCACAATTAACACTATGAAAAATATAAATTTGCATGTGGTGTCAGAAAAACCGCATGAGTCAGAATATCAACTCTGAGAGTCTGTAAAAATGTTGGGACACGAGTTCCCGACCTGCTGACATCTTCAATTATAATCGAATTTAATAATCAGCTCTAAATAATATGTAACTTGTAAAATGATATTTTTTTGTTTTTTGAATACCATCTCCCACAAGCACCTAACACCATTAGCAGACATTATACAGACATTTTTATTATTAATGTGCATACATTTTAAATGCCTGTCACGCCTTTTTCATTGCTCTTTATGATTATGCATATGTTGGAAAGAGGTGTGAGTGTGGTTAACACATTTTGTTAACAGCATCCGTTTTTTTTCCACTTTCCAATTTCAAAGCACACGAGAACGCCAAAGTTGGAATAATGACTTCACAGCTCAGGGAAATTAGGCTTCCTGAGGAGCATGTGAATGCACAGTTAATAACGAAATTATGACTCTGGTTAAAGTTAGGGCAAGATGTGTACTCACACAGTACACCTATTTTATTCTCATGTGTCTTGGTCCCATTACAATCAAGTGATCACAACTGCAATAAAAGTCTGACTAGTTTAATTAGACAGAGGTGAAGAATAACCCTGAGACCTTCAAGTCATCACTGTGGGAAAAAACACAACCCCTCCTTCCCCCAAACAAACGGAATTGAACAACGCGCAACACATTAACTTGAAATGCAGTTTCCTTTGACAACATCTAGGGAAACTGCATTTCAGATCCATAACAAAATACACATAAACCTTTACACGTAAGAAAGAAAATCCCTTAAAGGAGCGTTTTATTTTCTGTCTTTCTTTCTGAGGCAGCTTTGAGCACATTGAGTCCGCTCTGTTTTCCCAGAAGAGGAACTTTATAATAGGTGTAATGAGGTCAGTCTCTGCATGACAGGAAGTTAGTGAAGTGGCTCAAACACTGGAATATGAAATCAAACCTGTCAGACAGTCTAAGAAGCCTCATTCATAAAAACCAGAGTGAGTGGAAGCATGTGATCAGGGGACCAGAGATGTGGTGGGTATGAGTCCAGTGTGTAATTATGTCTAATATAATCAGCCGCTGTTTGGTTTTTCACAGACCTCATCTTGTTAAAACACATTTGTCCCCACAGCCATCTCGACATGAGACAACAAACCCAGTAGTTGCTGCTGATGAGATAAACGAAGCTTCTGTTCAGGTGCAGGGCCTGGATGTTTACCTACTGTTCCTGTCAAGTTGGCTGCAGGTAGAGAACACTTACTCTGACATGTCATCAGTCCTGGAATAAGAAATGAGCTTTTAACTATATTCGTACCTCCTGCAGGACAGTGGGGGGGAATTAATAACTCCATCAGTCTGAAGTGAGTCACAAGAATCACAGACACAACAAAGACACGTCAAAAACATCTACTGGATCATTTCTTGCAGAGAAGTGTAAGCTGGATTAAACGGGCTCGGCTTTCACTCTGAACCCTTACTACATACGGAGGGAGTCGCCATCATGTTTTACATTTAGATATAAAGTGAAATGTGGCCCATACACGAGCCAAGCTAACCCTGGCTAAATGATGCAAGCTAGTTAGCCCACAGGCTAACAGAATTAGCATGGTGGGTGAAACCAAAGAAACAAGCTCACCCTCCCGACGGAGACAAGAAGTCTCCCTCTTCGTCGTCTCCACCGAACATCCTCCCTCACGTCCAGCGCCTGCTCTTCTTCAACAGAACCACAGCGCGAGTGAATTAGCTGTTTTCCTCTGAGCAGCTTGTTGAACTGTCACTTCCTGCTTGTGGTGGGATCAGCTGACTTTCCACCTGATCCGAGGGTAGCTTACCTCCGGCTGCCGCCGGGGGGCGCCAAAGACTATTACAGTCTACAAGTCGATCCCTTCAACCCTGACCCCTGACCTCACACACGAGCTGGGAGGAGGAGGAGGAGGAGGAGGAGGAGGAGGAGGGGATGTGTTTGTGTGGAATGAAGAGTGAATCATATTCTAATGGAAGAAAACAGAAGATGGAATGAAATAAGTTTGGTTTGCACGATAAGTAAGAGGAAGCTCAATTCACAACTCTACACAAACTGTGGTTGTGTCCGAAATCACCCACTCATTCACAAACCCCTGCATTGGGACGTCTGTGTAGACTCATTTTAGTTAAGGGGCCACACACTGCCCACTTTGACTTCAAGGGGGCCAGACCAGTAAAATCATAGCACAATAACGCAAACATAACGACAATATTTCTCCATGTTTAAATCATAGGTGAAGGTTTTTGAATGATGAACCCTATTTTAAGGTCTTTCTGCGATAAACTAGAAACATAAAGACCAAAAACTCCGACATCAGCCCACCTGCCTGGGCTCTCCTCTGCAGATTCCCTCGTTTTTTTTCGTACTCATAAACCTTCATATTCTTAAGAGACACTCACTGATTCACAACCCTTGACATTTATTAAGAAAAACAAGTGCAATTTCACCAATACTGTGCTTCAGTTTGTCATTTACACATGTGCATTACATCTTCAGATCAGAGAGAGCTACAGAGCAAAACATGTAGTCACAGGTATTTGGAACTGAAAAATATTGCATTTGACTTTAGAACAAAATCAACTTCTCAAGAATTAAAACATATTTTAAATGTAAACTCTTTGGAAATTCAGTTTTACAGTGTGGCCCCCAGTGGACTGATTAAGAATAGCAGCTACTTTTATAGAAATGCAATTTATGTCTTTGTGTAATTTTCACACTTAACAAAGTCATCCAGCGGGCCAAGCTGGACCCCCTGGTGGGCCGGATCCAGCCCACGGGCCGTATGTTTGACACCCCTGATGTAGAGGACTAGCAGAGATTTTGAACAGAGCCTTTATGTGGCTGTAAATGATTCAACATGACCACATCAAACATTGAGACTATTCTGTTAGTGTAAAGATAATTATCACGTTTACTTGTCTACTTTTTGATTTGTTATTTTACTTTCCTATGTCTGTCTAATAATCTCAGACATCTCACAGGCTCTCTTGTTTGTTTTCACCAATCTTTTAGATTTCATCCACTGGTGACAGAAAGAATAGAATAGAATAGAGGGAGGGATAATAACATCAGAGATTCCCTGGATATACAGGAAATAATTTAAGATAGAACTTTAGATGGAAAGTGAGTCAGATTTGTCTCAGTGTTAGTTCCAGTCTGATGAAATTGCTTAGGGTCACGTCACTTTCAAAAACCTGCCGATGGGACCCATTAAAAACTAATAATGAGATAATAAATCAGACATGATGTAAAGATATTTAATAATTTGTGTGAGATTTGAAACAGTGTCAGTTGATGTGCTCCCACCAACCTGTTATCAAATATTTTCCTGTCATTGTGGTAAAAATAGATCTTATTACATTCACAGCCATGTTTCCTGCAGTCAGTGGTAAGTCGGTCTGAGGCTCATGTCCTCTGTCTTTGCCAAGTTTATTAAAAGAGCAATATTAGTTTGGCTGAACTCCAAATAGCATTTTGATCTGTCATAACATTGTGTCAGTCCTGACAACACAGATCTAATACAGTCTAATCTGACATGTGACACAAGCATCGGCGTTTGAATGAGCTCCACAACTGCTGCATGGGCTGTTGATGTGTGACACAGACTCATCCCCCTCGTCCTTTTGCCATCGACCATTCCGATGCTCCCACCCACCCACCCACCCAGATGGTCCTGAGCAAAACAACTTCATCTATTTTATTCCAGTGTTTTCTCATCCCTGACTCTTGTGTCGGCGTGCAGCACATCCAGCATCATTACCACTGTTGGTCCAGGCCAACCGTGCGATCCCTGCTGCCCTCACTGTAATGTGTTGTAATGTACCACTCTTTAATTTTAGTCCACCACTTTTCTCCAGACTGAAATATCTCATCAAGTATTAACTTTCCATGAGCTATATTTGATGCCCAGAGGATGAAGCCTTATATCTTGTCTGTTCCTCTGGCACCACCATGGGGTTCCCCCTTGCTCTTGCACAGGGATGATAATTTGAAGCTGCTATTTCTAAAGTTGATTATTATAATCACTCCATGTGATCGTGCGGTTCTTTCTCTGATGCACCTGCAGTATCGGCTCAGGAGATTTTGTTTCATCATTCCATGTCGCGTCATCAACCTTTTTGCAAACATCGCAGCTGTTTGCATGAGTTTTCATTTTATTTTGTTCGCCCCCTGCATTAAACAGTGTGGGCTGTCTTGTGCAGCATCAGACAAAGATACATTTCATCACCATTGTAATGTAGTTCACTGATCATGCAGAAGGTTCAATCCTTGGGTCTTTCTTTCCATCTTAGCGATATATTTACCCCGTAATAACTTCGAGGTGAAATTATGTCTCTGTCATGCTCCACTTTGTTATTTAACACCCTTCATCCTTAACAGCTCCCCCCAAGACAACACATACACACAAGACAATTAAATATAATCCATCTGCTTTACTCTCTCAGTATTTACACGTGACCATTTTACAGCAATATTACTTTAGATTCATGGCATTTTAACCATTGTTTACCTATCAAAAATATACAAAAATAAAATTGCATCTGTTTCCTCCTATTTCACAGCAAGTATCAGTCCATGTCTTTTGCTGCGTGTTAGGAAGAGGTATGTGATTTCCTGTTCCGCTTCGCTCGACGTGTGGACGGAAATCGGATGAACTCAAAGTGTTTGCTTTGGTCCGTGTTGGGGAAGGGAGGCGGGCCAGTGTGTAGCCTCTTGATGAAATGGACCTCTCTCTGGTTCTGCCTCGTCCTGGAGGCTTTAATGGGCCTCCCTTTCCTGGTGAAGGCCACATACCAGCCCTCATACTTGGCATTCTGGAACGCTGTGTAATTGTTCTCCAGCACTATCTCTGTGAAGATACAATCCCTGCTCCGACCATTGGGCTGAGGAGAGAGAATGGATTTCTTATGTTAAACTTGGACAGACTCACAAAGCATGAAACACATTTGATTTGATTTGTTCATACCAAGGTCATATGATTTATAATAATCCAATGGTCAAGTCAGACTGTTTTCCTTCATACTAAAGCCTCGTTACAGACTTCAATGTTTGAAAGAGGATATTATATATTCGTCCTTTAGAAGCTGAAGTTAGAAGCAAAAGAACACATCCTTGCTTAACTCAATAAATTCAAGACTTTAGCTGTTACAGCCTTACTTTGATATCCTGTATGACCAGTATATTATGGTGCTAAATGTCAGCTAATGTTAAATCACTATAACACTGTAATACCATTACTCAGTCAGTTAGCATGAACCATATTCATCAAATGTAAACACTGTGAGAGTAAAAGTGACATAGTGTTACCGGGTCTTTTTTAGTAACTACAGTATGTCGGAACCTTTGAAATTCTTCAGTTACCCACAGGTACAGAAATATACATTTTTCATTTGATTGCAGAGAGCAAAATAAGAAAATGTACTAATATCTATCAATAAATATGAACGTTTAACAACCAGTCAGTTTGCGTATTACACACAAGGTATAAAGCTCAAAAACTAAAACATTATACATGTCGCTTGTTTCAACAATTTGGTTCATAATTCTTCTTCAAAACCAAAACAACAACGTTGGTGAGTCAGGCTGCTGTACAGACCTGAGAGTAGTATTGATCTCCTCATTTAACTTGTAGTTTCAGTTTACTTCTGTTAAGTAATAAAGCATGAATCCACAGATAACTAACTTCCTGTGCTGCAGTTGTTTTATGAAATGTCGACAGCCACATGTCAGTAGTTTGTTGTTGTGAGAACTCGTCTTAGCAAATCAAAGCAAACAGTAATTTCATCTTGATTTATGTTCTGTGTCCAGTTTTCATCTGAGCAGCCGCACCTCCAACACATCTCAGGAGAGACAGATTTGTAAGTTGTCGTCTCAGCCAGATATGTGGACCCATCTTTTCCATTTCCATGAAGGAAATGGAGAGTTGACTTATGACCAAACACACAGGCAGTGCATTAAGGGCTTATACTTTCCCCTCAGTGCTGTCAGCTGTGGCTCTAAGATGGAGCAGCTATCGCTCACTTCTCCAGGGATTCCTTTTTTTTTCCCCATCACATCATGTCCGGGGGTGACTGACATGTTATGGCACTACATCGACAATGGACCCAGGCTATCACATTGGAGCTGAAGTGTGTATTTTAGTGGATGTGAGATCTGATAAACTGACGCCGAGCACAGATTATATGTCTTCTAAAGAGGAACTAGCTCATGAATGGATTAAGACCAGTGAGTCATGTCTGTGTACTTTGGCTGGAACTGTAAGAAACACTGATACGTCCTCTGTCTACATTTAATGTGTATGCTTGGCGTACATTGTGAAGTGTTTTCAAAGATGGTTTAGATTATCTGATACAATTTTTGCTAGCAACAATAGAATTCGACTGTTTAATATTATCATACTATAACATTATAGTTTGTTTATCTTAACTTTATTTTATCACGGCAATGATTCCAAACTGACTGATGCTAACAAACATCAAAGTAAACATTTTAACATCTGCAGCCAGTAGTCTGTCAGGTAAAATTGATTCAGGAATATATATTGTACCTTTCCAACAAGTTTGCCCTTCCGGTTCATGCAGAGGTAGCGCCCACTTTCTGCTCCTCTTATCCTCACGCGACTCCCAAACGTGTCCGTCTCGACAAACAGGCGAGCTGCCAGAAAAGGAAAGCAGAAAGTAAAGTTACACCAGAGTCTATGAAATCGTTTTGTTTTTCATTATCAGTTTGTAATTTCAAGAGTCAAAAATACACTGTGAAAAATGCAGTTCCATTATTTTTTCAGCTCTAATCTTTTTTA